GATACAATAATACTCCTCCGTCTTTTGAGTTTTGTGAAAGTGTTTGATTCAAAATATTTCTTCCTTATATAAGTTAATGTCGGTTAGTGTTTACCTTTGCCATGGCCATACTGACCTTCTATAGTCCCATTCTTTCACTAGGAAATGATTTCTTAGCTACCAAATAATTGATCAGCCTAACACTATACCCACAATTTTTTTTTTTTTTTTTTTTTTTACCGAGTATTGAACTCAGGACCTTGTACTTTCAAGGCAGGTGTGGCACCACTGAGCTAAATTCCCAGCTCAGGGGTGAGTAATCTAATTCCTACAGTGTAAACAGAGTCAGTTTATTGGGAACAGATAACCCAGAGGCTTCTGGCAGAGAAACTGAATCCCAAGTGGGTGGAATTTGTAGGAGTATATCCTGGAAGGTGGGGTCAGCCCAGCATCTCCTCCTCCCTCTCCTAGCTCTAAACCAGAGCTTCCAGAATGCTAGGGCAGTGGTACAGAACTGTATCAGGGAAACCTTCGTTCTTGTCACACCCAAAGTCTCAATGCAAAAGGAGCTAAAAGGAGAAGGAGCAGAAATTGGGTGGCTATGTACAGTGGATGCAGTGAGGGCGAGAATTGATTCCATCGAGCAAATCATGTCAATTCTTGATTCTCTGTCTGTCCAGTAACTATTCCATGCCCCTTTGGCCTTTGTTCCAAACAGTTTTCACTATCATCTGCTAATGTGAGCTCATGAAACAGACTGATTTTCATAGTTTGGGCTCAGTAGACCTGAGCAAGTAAACCTATTGTCCAAAGAACACCTTTTAAGATTTGTGCTGGGAGGATATTGACAATTTCTGAGGGATCCTGAAACCTTGGCACTTGCCTTTGGAAGTCAGAATGGGATTCAGGGGATTTTAGCATTTGCAATAGCGCATGGTTCCAGTGGGTGCGAAAGGTTCATTTTTCTTAAGTGCACGAGAACCAGAGGGAAGAGAGATGGAGAGCCTTGTTGGGGGTGAGAAGGAAGAGGCTGGCTCCAGGGGGGAAACTGGCGTGGACCTTGCACAAAGCAGAACCGTGAGATCTCCATGTGACCTTCTCATCAGGAAGAGCAGAGGTTGGGAACACTGGCCTTCTCTCGGCCACTCTAGGGCTGACGTTCATCAGAGCAATGCATCCTCTCTCTTTACATCCCACCCCATCCCAGTGCCCTCCTTGGGGTCTGCACCCAGCTATGTGAAAGGTAGCTTTTGAAGATAACGATGAACCCAGGGAGTAGTTTAGTTCCCAGTGGAAATCCCAGGGGAATTTGGAGTCAGCACGGGAAGGCGAGGTTTTGAAATGTCCTGATCTTCAGCAGTGTGGGAATGTGGCATTCAAGGATTGTCCCCTGGATTTCCAGCCTTTGGGTCAATGCTAACACTAGTGGCCACAGGAGCTGCCCCCCACCCCCAGCTTCATGCCAGAGAGCCTCCCACTCCCACAGCCCGCAAGGCCCTGGGGCTCGCAGGGGATATAGAGTTCGCCAGTGGCCACCATGCTGCAGCCTCCACTGCTCCTGACGACACTGGTGCCTCCTGTGCAGTACTCGGGCCTCAGCATGGGTGTGCTGATCACACATGGCTCGTACAGGATGGCACCTTTGGAGCTGCTTACGGCTGTGGGGACAGGAAGTGACACTCAGGGCCCTACCCTGCACAGCTTTGAGAAACCTGTCCTGAACAATCTCAGCCAAGCCATTACTCTCACCTGGTGCCACTCACCTCCAGGGATACCCCATCCCAGCTACAACTTCCATATCTCCCCATCCTAGTCACATCTAGGGTTGGAAGTGCACCCCATTCTCCTCCCCTTTCCCTGGAGGCTTGTTGAAGCCAGGCCTGATGTCTGCTTTGCTCCCTTGAGGTCTCTCCTGAGCCTGCTTCGACCCCTTGTTTCCATTTGTCAGAGTGGCTCCCAGAGACTCTGGGGACCGTGCTGTTCATAGCTCCAACCCCCAAAAGATATGGAGAGCCCCACCAGAGAACTTTTCCGTCAGCCCAGGGCTCATGGCAGACAAGGCCCTTCCTCTTGGGCAGGGGAGGCCCCTGAGGCCTGGGAGGAGAGTGTGGGCTTCTGTGTTGGGCTGATCAATTCCCAAGCCCAAGACCTCTGGGGACGTGGCTCATCTACTTACAGATGTTCACGGGGCCAATGCCTTCACACAGCCTGGGCAGAGAAAGAAGACAAGATGACTGCATTAGAGAGATTCAAGAAGCATCTCCCTTCCTCTACCCTCACCCTGCAGAGGAGGCGGGCGCAGGCCCCTGGGCTGTTCTGGCTTTGCCTTGATGGGTGGCTGAATAACAGCCTAAGCTCTGGAGAGCAGACACCCCTGGTACCTCTCCTTCTTTAAGCTCACCTGTGCTCCTCGCCCTCCAGCAGGCGCCTGTAGGTGGCGATCTCGATGTCCAGGCCCAGCTTGGAGTTCATGACCTCCTGGTACTCCTTGAGCAGGCAGGCCATGTCCTGCTTGGCCTTCTGCAGGGCCTCCTCCAGCCCTGCCAGCTTGCAGCGGGCATCGTTGAGGGCCGCCTCTCCCTGCTGCTCTGACTGGGTCACCGCGGTCTCCAGCTTGGTGTTCTGCGGGCCCAGGAGAGAACAAAGTGGTTTCAAATGCTCCATGGATTTCCTGGTTCATTACCTGGATGTGTGCAGTCTCAGCCACCCAATTAGAAACAGCCCCCAAATAAGGCTCTGCCCTGGGTGACCATCACCGGGGACTATAGGCAGACAGACAGGATGGATAATGAATACTCCTTGAGCGCAGGCCATGTCCTGCTTGGCCTTCTGCAGGGCCTCCTCCAGCCCTGCCAGCTTGCACTTGGCATCGTTGAGGGCCGCCTCTCCCTGCTGCTCCGCCTCAGCTATGGCCCCCTCAAATTTGCAGCGCTGGAGGGGAGGGGATAGTAAGGCATCACTGGGGGGCCCCGTCAACATCCACCATGCATCCTCTGAGCCAGACCCTCAGAAGAGCAGGAGGAACACATGGTACCTTCCAGCTCCAAATGTGCTGTGGGTTTCACTCTGGGGGTATGACATCTGGCTCCTCCCGGGAAGTGGAAGCCATTTTCTGTCTCAAACACAGGAGGGGGACCTGAGACTTTAGAAATGCTCAGCGATCGAGTGGGTGCACAGGTTGGGAGGCCTAACAGATTTTAAGTGCCTGGCTAGACTTTACTAGCTACTTCACTAGCACAGAGTTCACATGAGCAACCCAGAGTCACCTTGAAGTTCACAGTCACAGGTTGAGAGTCTGGCTTTGAAAGGACCACGGAAAATATCTTTTCTTTACTCTCTGTGACTGCATCTCTGACAACAGATCACCTGGCTGTTGTTAGGGATCTGGCCGTTTCCTGAGGCTGTCCATTGTAGTTGGAAGGTCAGCTTGTATAGACAGAGCTTGCTTCCTCCTGAGCAAGGTGGCCCAGGTTCGTCCCCTTGCTAGCTGCACTCCCTGTGAGAGTTGGACCTGCCCACATCACCCGGCAGGCTGGTCACCCTCAGAGAGGCCAAGTTAGGAGGGCTCCTGCCTCACCTGAGCCTTCACAGCCTCAGTGTCTTGCTGGAGCCTCTGGATCAGCTTGTTCATTTCCAAGATCTCATTCTTGCGGTTGCGGAGGTTGTCGCTGTGGTTCCCAGCTGTCGCCCTCAGCTCCTCGTACTATTGGGACATAGAGGTCAGACCCGGGCTCTGCAGCATGGCACTGCCTAGCCCCTGTCGCACTGGCTCCTTTTACCTCTCTGCCTTCTTCGACCTGCCCTGCTCCTCATCCCCTTCTCACAGCTGATCAGATTTGGGGTCCTTATGTGGCTGCTCCCTATTCCCATCTCGCTCTCAGCCCCAAGCCTCAGACTTGTTAAGTTCCCCTCCAGGCTCTAAGACCCTTTCTCTCTGCCTCAGAGCCCAAGGGCTCTTTTTTTTAGATGTGGCTGTGGACCTTGGAAGGGTTTTTTTCTGTGCTCAGGTTGCAATGCTAACAGAGCAAGGACTCAAAACAACTGAAAAAAGAATGCAACATTGTATTCTATTTTGACCTAATGCTTTCTAGCCTTTTGACTTTAAATCCAAGTTCTGAAGAGCAGTTATATACAGATTATGTTTATAACATTTACAAAAAATTAATTAACTTTAGATCGTCTGGTAGTTTTTACTATCAGACAAAACTCCCAGTATTAGTGCGGCTCTGAAGGGGTGCTAGCCCCAGCACAGGTGGTCTCTGCAGCTCTCCCTCAAGGCACATGGCACACCAGGGATTTCACTTTTGTGTCTCATGTCCTGGCTCCTGCTGCTCACCCACTGGGCACACTTTTCACCCATTCTCAGCTTACTCTTCCTTGTCCTTTAAGAGCAGATCAGATGACAGTGGCTGTATCTTTCCAGACACAGGTTGTGTTTTCGGTCACCAACTGCATGGACCTGCTGACCTTGGCACACTCCCTGTACTTTGGTCTGGTTGGTCACCCCCACTCCCCGCCCCAGTAATGTCCTTGAAAACATGGGTGGCCTGATTTTTGGTGTCCTCAGTCCTTCCCTGGCTTCTCTCTTGACAGCTCACACCCCCTTACTCTTCACACTGGTTTCTTTTCTCAGTAGTGTTCATCAACATCCATCATGCATCCTCTGTACTTACTGGCTTTGTTTTTTTGTCCCCCCCCTCCCCGCCAACCCGGAAGAAAATGATATAAGGGTAGGGACTGCTGTCTGTCTTGTTCCCTGCTGAGTCTTGAGCTTCTAGCACTGAGCTTGGTACATGGTGAGTGCCCAACAAATAGCTCCCAGCTGAGTACACCAACCAGTAATGATTGCATGCGAGGTAGCTTTTGCAGGCAGGGCAGTGGGACTGAGATGATAATATTTGTTAAATCAAATTGCCCTGAGCGATCCCCCAGCCCTCCCAGCAAGCCCGTAATTACTAAGTCTGGGCCACCTTAATCACTGTCTCTGCCCCACCATTAGTAACAACCCCATGCCACCAGTCTCTCCCACACTTTGAAGCCCACTGGCCTCTTTGCCATCATCACCAATTATATGTACTGGGTATTGTTTGGAGGAGCATCTGATGAGTCTGCAGGTAAATACATCTGGGTCCCAGCAAGTGCCTAGTGACAGGCCTGGGCTGCCTGTAGGTCATTCCCACGTAATCTGCAGGGTCCTGGCCTGCGGCCCAGCAGAAACAACAGGCTGGGGTAATGGGATTCCCTGATGCTGTGGTGTGCCCACAGCCTTCATTAGCTCCTCACCCACCACTTCCTGGGGCAGAGGGGATCTAGAGGTTCTCCTTTCCCCCTCTCCCATTTTCCCTTCCTCTACTAACATATCACCCAGCCCTGTCCCTTTGCATCCCAGCCTCACCTGGCGCTGGTACCAGGCCTCCATTTCTGCTTTGCTACGCCTGGAGATTTCTTCATACTGGGCCTTGATTTCAGTAATGATGTCATCCACGACCAGATCCCGGCTGTTGTCCATCTGCACGATGACCGATGTCTCTGAGATCTGAGACTGCAGCAGCGCCATCTCCTGGAAAGAAGGGATGAGGGTATGGGGCAGGGATTGGGGAGGGAGAGTCCAACCGCTCCAGCCTCCCACCATGGCAGATTTGCCCAGGACTGGGCTGTATCTGTTCTCAGACTTCTGTCATCAAAGCGCTCCTTGTTGGCTTCTTTTAGTGACCTGAGCTTTCCCGGAGGCGCTGGAGAGACAAGGAGCTAGGCAGTCCACCTCTGAGCACCAGCTGTCCCCCAGGGACCTCTTCCCAAACTTCTTGTGGAAAGACAAATACTAAACACATGTTCCCCACCCCCCCAGCTCTTTTAGCACAGCCCCTGACCCACTACCTAGAAGGCAGCATGACTGCAAGTACCTCTTCAAACAAATTTTTCAGGAAGTTTATCTCCAGCTCTAGAGCCTCCACGTTGGTCTCCAGGTCAGCCTTCACCAAGAAGGCTGTGTCCACATCCTGAAGCAGGGCAGAGACAGAACCATGACCCAGAGCTGGGAGGATGGAGGGGCTATGGCTCTACCAGCCAGGCACCTCCCTCCCTGGCAAGCTGGCAGCAGATGGTGTGTGTGGGCTCACCTCTCTTCACTGACACCCATATGAAAATGAAAGGAGTGATGGAGCCATGGTGGGAGGGAGAGGTCCCCAGCCCTGGATGCACCCATACGGGGGATGGATTGTGTGTGAGTCCTTAGAGCTCCTTTTGCAGGGTGTGTCCTGGAAATATCTGGCTACTTATCATGACAATTGTTTTTATCTTTAGGGATTTGAGGCAGAGGTTTGTTTTTTCTTTGACTTGGGGCTAGCCACACTTCTAGCTGGTTGGGCAGGTGTAGACACTACCCTTGTCTAGCTTTAGCCCATAAGAGGTGGGGGTGAGGCAGGACAATTTCTGCCCCTTTGCAAGGGGGCTGAATGGGGGGAGGAAGCTGGCCATCCTTCCTCCCAGGGTAAGGACTGCAGCTGGCACAGGAGTCTGAGGGGCAAGGACCCCTGGGTGAGTGGGTGGGCTGAGGACACATCTGGACACACAATCCAGGGGCCTCCACCTCTCTGTGCCTCCTCACCTTCTTCAGGGCGACAAACTCATTCTCAGCACAAGGACGCAGGGAGAGCTCCTCTTCATACCTGATAGCACGAAAGAGAGGCTTTAGTTGGGTGTGTGGAATTTGGAAGGGGTCTGGTGTTAGGCCTTTGGGGGCCACTCTGCTGTTTACTGACTGCCTTGTCTCCAAACACTTGTTGTTCCTCCTCTGCTCAAGACAGGTGATTATTACCAGAGCTTCTCACAGCCACCTTGAAAGCTTATACCCTCCCACCCCCCTTTTTTTTCTTTGATGAGTCATCCTTCAGGAGGTCCTCCTTGAGGTTGCCTGCATTCCCTCTTGCTGTGGAGGAAGTCCCCTCATCTTGTTATTTCCCCCGGGAACTGGAGAGAGAGGTGGTGCTGCTGGCCTGACTGTCTTTGCCTAGTTATTCTGAGCTGGCTTCAATCCCTGAAATTCCCTGTGCAAAGGGTGACAAGCCTGGCCTCAATACAGCTCACAGAGGTAACAATTACCTACTTTACCAACTCACAGAGGCAGCCTAACTATGTCTCCAAGCTCTTTGAGGCTCCTTGGCCCACACACTACTCCCCTGAGGTTCAGGGATCAGAGCTGGGTTTCAACCTGGCCAGAGTGACTCATTTGGTAAGCAGTATCCATCCATTAGAAGCTTCCCAATGCTTCTGATGCCCATCTCTCCTTTGCCCAGCTCTAATGCTGGGCTCCAGAGCTTGCTGCCCCAATCTGAATCCCCCTCTGTCTCTTGCTAGTCATGGCCAACTGGGGTGCGGGACTTGGCCTCTGCACCTCATCTCTTGTCACCAGACGGTGAATACTTGGAATACATGGCACTTCTTTGTCATCTACTCCTTTCCCTCCTCATTCCTGAGGTCTACTCTGGATTCCCTTTCTAGAAGAAACCACAGGAAGGAACATCATCATTGAAGGCCCTGGGCCAATGGTACCTACTCTGGGAAACCCTCCCCAGCTCCTTCTGCTTACCCTATCTCGGGACTCCTCTCTTTTCTGTACCATTCCATTTGTAGCTGCAAGTGACCTGTGTATACTGGCTGGGGCATCTCAAGGGAGGGAGCCACTTTTTCCTTTCTAGGGCACCAACACTTCCTTGTGCAGTATCTGGCATTGAGAAGGACTGTGGCTGACACTCAGGGCATGAATGTTCCCACCATAGCTCAATTCCACTGACACATCCTCTACAAACTGCTGCTGTCAGTATATTTGCAGTTTTTCTCCAAAGGAAATGTGTCTATCTCAACCTCTTCCAAAAACATGCACTCCCTTGGGGTGCTGGCCCCAGGGAGGACCCCCCAGGACCCCCAAGAGGCAATGAATCTGGGCCTCAGTCCCTTGCAACCATTGGAGCTACTCGCCTGCCAGCTCTTCAGTAACACATGCCCATGAGCCACCTACTTCAGGCTGTGATCAGATCTGGAGCTTCCCTGGGGTGGGGTTGGGGGTAGGTGGCGCAGGATGGACAATGCAAATCCCAAAACATTGGGGACAGAGACAGGGGCAGTTCAAGCCCTTGATAATGGGGGGTGGCTGGACGATTTTGGTGACTTCTGATCATTTCCAGCTGTGTGATGGGGAGGGCTAGGGAAGTCAGAATTAGGGGACGAGAGGAGAAGTGCGCTTGCTGGCTGGGTGAGGGGAAGTACGGAGAGGGCTCATCAAGGGAAAGGGAGAGCAGGTGCAGAGCCGCGGGGATCCACTGAGGGACTGGAAATAGTTCTGGGCCTGCAAATGGAAGATGAAGCAGTACAGGCAGGTAGCTTGGAGCAGATGCTGGGCTCTCAAAGAGGCAGTGGGGCATCCTGAGGGCCTTATTTTGGTGGGGTAGTGGGAAGGGAAGTGAAGACACACACAGAATTGCAGAGCTGCGTGTGCTATATACACGATAAGTCCTTGCTCAGCCTGCATTAATTGTTCTTCCCCGATTGAGCTGGACTCACCATTGTATAGATGGGAAACTGAGACCCAGATAGCTCTTGGGTCTTGCCCTAGGTCCCCTCATGAGGCGGAAGCAGAGCCGACTCACTTTTTTTTGTAGCTCTGCACTGCATCCTGGACACTGCAGAGCTCTGCCTCCAGCCTCCCGTGCTCCCCGGACATGCAGTCCAGTTCCCTCCGCAGGGCACAGATGTAGCCCTCGAAGATGGGCTCCATGTTGCTCTGGCAGCACCTCTGCTGCTGCATGAAGTTCCACTTTGTCTCCAGCAGCTTGTTCTTCTGCTCCAGAAACCGCACCTGCAGCCCAAATGGGGTATCATGAGGAAGCATGGCCCTGGGAACCATGCCTTGGAGAGGGCAGTGGGGTGATTTTGTGCCTCCTCCCAACACTAGAATGTGCAAAAGTTATGGTCTGCACAGACTGGTAACTAAGGATGTCTCTGTGTCTCCTTTACTTTGGGGAGCTCGGAGGACCCCCACCTTCCACTTGGGCTGCACATGGTAGAATGCTGCCCCATGAAACCTGGGGCAGGCCTACACTCCAGGCCTGCCTGCCTGCTTCTCATAGCCTTGTGACTTTGGCCCACTCTTTTTCTTAAAGAACCTCCTTGGGACATGCTCTACAAACCTGCCCACTAATGTAAGGCTGTGCTGCCTGGGAGACCACAGTTCTTTTTTTGCAGTCCAGGGGCACTCAGGGAAGATGGTCACATCAAGGGTTGTGTCCTAGCAGTGTCACCTCTTTTTACCTACTCTGTCCCATTCCACATAACTGCTTCTGAAAGAAGTATAGGTCACAGTAACATGGACAGCCCCTGGTGCATCTCCACTTTGTGTGCTGACACCAAGAATAGAAGAAATTGAGTGGGTTGACATAGGCCATATACTTTGCCACTGGCTAAGGGAGCATGGTCTGCATCTTTCCCCCATAATTTCCCATATTGAGCTGCAGAAGGAACACTGCCCTTCTTCTGGCGAATGCCACAGCAGGAGAATCTTAGCCTTACTGAAGGGGGAGTGGCATTGTTGATGGCAAGGATTCACATTCTTCATAATTCACATTCAGTCATGATTAGAAATTTGTAAACTTAAAGAATAAAGCTGCAAGTGGGCAAGATACTCTGGGAAGCAGGTTTTTATAGACAACCTCCTCTAAATTCTCCCACTGTTTTTTGACCATTTCCCCACAAGGCAGTGGAATCCTTAAGGCTGAGCGGGGAGTAGCTTACACAGAGATTCGGGTCACAGGAGTGGAGCTAGAAGGGCCCAGGACACTGAATTATGTCTCAGCAACCTTGGTGCTAAACCTTAGGGTCATCAGAAACACCAGCTCAGCTCTTGGAGTGGATCTTGACACCAAGAGTCTCTTTGGGGTGGGGAGACAGGCCTAGGGGTAGCTGAGGGCCAGGCCACTTGGGGGCCTTCTAAAGGCAGCACACCCGTCTTCTCTGAGGCCCTTGGGATGTCTGGATCCATGGTTGACAGATGTAAGATCCAGCAAGGGCCACTTTGTGCTCCTAGCTCTGACTGCTCTACTTTTTCCTCATCCCAGTCTTAAGATGATGGCAAACTTTGGAGTCACGGTACTCATTCTTGCCCTCAGACCTGAGTTTTGAGGCAGTTCAGGCACAGAGAAGTCAGTCCTATGTTAAAGACTTACTTCTTGGACTCTTCAGTCATTCTTTTCAGTATGGCTTTGAAAATTCCTCCTACAGTCTGACCTAAGGCAACCTCGGTGATTTTCTCAGATAATCTAGAGGGAGATGATCCACTAAACAAAGGACTAGGAAGCATGAACTTTCAGTGCTGAGCTTGATCTAAATAGCTTTCATGGTAAATAGTTGTGGAATGCTAGAGAGTGCCCAGTAGACAAATGGCTTCTCCACTGTCAGCCTCTTCCTTACCCTTAGGCACACACAGGCATTCTCTGTGGTGGATTTTGTACCCAGTGCCCTGCTATCTTGGGCCCACCCTCTTACCTTGTTGATGAAGGATGCAAAGCGGTTGTTGAGGCACTTGATCTGCTCCTTCTCGTCCCTTTTCACCCTCTGTACCGTTGGGTCAATCTCCAGGGCCAGTGGGACTAGAAGGTTCTCATTAATGGTGACAGGAGTGATGCAAGTAGAAGGTCCACAGGTTACACCTGCTCGATACCCAAAGCCAGGCAAGCCACACCTAGAAGCGACTCTAGGCCTCCCGAAGCCCACATTGCACAGGCTCCGGGAACCAAGGCAGCCCAGGACTCGGAGTCCCCCACCACTGCTAGGCCGGCATGGCCCCTTGCTCACTTCATAGTGGGTGACCACCCGGGGCATGACAGCCGAGCATGAGCTGAAACTCCGACTGCCACACCTGGAGCCCATTTGGAAGGAGCGGAACGACATGGTAGGACTGAGAGCCAGCGAGATAGAGCCCTGCAGGAGAGAACAGGGGGCAGGAATGACCAAGTCATGGCACAGCTTCTTCTCTTTTATACAGCAGGGGACTGGAGAGCTAGGCTGGATCAAACCCCAGCTCACCATTAAATCAGGTTTATGAGCGTGGTATATTAGCGGCTGCTAAGTAGCAGGGTGGATAATTAGGGCAGCAAAAAGCAAAGAGAAGGAGCCAATGGTCAGTGCTGGGGTCCTATAAAGTTTGTATTTGTCATCTTCCCTTGTTTACAGGGGCAGTGAGGGGGCCAACTAGAATGCTGTTAGACCTACTCAGTGGCTCAGCCTTGAGGAAAGGGAGAATGGGAGTTATCATTTCATTGGAGAGAAGGGGCCTGCTTTATATAACCCAAATTGGCTGGGATTAGAGAGCAGAGTAGACATGCTGAGGATGCTGTATTTGCCCAAGACTATCTCTGTGCCTTCCTCCAGGTCCTCCAGACCCAAGTGCCCCTGTGAGCTCTTCAGGAGGCCCAGGAGTTCTCTGGGAGAAAGGCTTTTGGGGTGGGAGAAGCCTCTATTATGCAAGCTGGACCTTGTCCCTCTCAGGATTAGAGGGCTCCAGATCTGGTACAACTGCCCCTGTCCTGGGATTCTGTGTTGCTACCTGGAGTATCCTGAGTAGATGGAGCCAATTCTGGCCTGCAGACATCTCTGGAAACAACAGTTTGGCCACAAGAATACTTCAGATGGCTTTCTTCCTAACACCAGCTCACAGACAGATCTTTGCAGATACCCACAACTCCCCTCCTTCCTATCTTTTCTTCTTTTTGTGCTTGTCAGCAGTGTAACCTCTGCTGGGCTTACTGGCCTGCCCTTGAAATCTTTGTTTCCAGGCCAAGATCAAGCCAGTGATAATAGTAACCTCAATTGAGGATTTACTATATGTCAGGACTGCCCTGAGTGCATCTATTATCTCATATAATCCTTAGGCGAGCACCATGATGTAGTTACCATTTTACAGATAAGGAAAGTGAGGAGCAGAAGTGGTGAATATCTGTGTCCTCAAGTTGCCTAGTTTGTTGATGTTAAGCTGGGGTTGAATTCCTTACGTTCTGACCTCACCATGCACCACTGATATAGAGGACAGAAGTCTGAGGTAGGATTGGTGAAAGTACTATCCATATGTTTTGTGCTCCTCCCCTTTCCTATCTGTAGGTTATATTGGAACTCAGATGTTTATGTGCGTTAGAAATTCTCAACCTAATTATGCCATTTCACACTGTTTCCCTTCGTCACAGTTTTGGTTTGGGTCCTGGAGCAAGGATTATAAGGAGAGACCTGGGAGATAGTGGGAGGTAGAGGGAGGGAGGACTGCAGTGCTGTCTTAGTCATCTTTCCCACCACCAGGACAAAATATCTAACATCTGCAACATGAAGGAGGAGAGGTTTATTTTGCTCATGGTTTCAGAGAGTTCAGCCCATGGTCAGCTGGTTCCCAGGCAAAAACATCATTGTGGAATAGTGTGGCAGAGAAAAACTTATCAACTTATGACATCCAGGACCCAGAAAGGAGGAGAAGAATGAAGGGAAAGGGGTCAGGGACCAGTTTTTGTCTGCAAGGGCCTGGCTGCATTCTCTCCTTCCTCCGACTAGGTCCTAACTCCTTTCAGCTATTAAGTCCCTCACAGGTTAACCCATCAGTAAACTCAGTGCCCTCAGAATCCCACCATCTCTTCAGGGACCTCTTAATCCAGTCAAGTTGAAAATCAAGGTCAACCATCACAGATGTGATTGCCCGGTGTCAGGAAAAAGATCTGCATTCTGCTCTGGGAGCCCAGGAGCTGGTGTGCGTGGTGATGCAACATGAGAAGCCCGACCAGAGAGCAATGCCTGCTAGAGGGGATGAGTGAAGTTGCTGGCAGGGTCATCAGGACAGGGTTCAGTGGAGCAATGCAGACACAGCTGAGCTCCTCCACCTTACCCAGATGATAGTCTCAGTAACTGGGTCGAGAGGCTGGAAGCCCAGGACCAGAACTCAGGAAAAGAAGATAGGATGCTTCACTGGGTTCGTAGCAGGCAAAAAGCAGATGCTCTGATAGCCCACCAGTTCTGAGGCTGCTTTTGGTTATGACAGAGAATGTTGACTCAGTCAAGACCTAGCGTGCTCAGCAACATTTTATTGAATCTACTTCAGGAAATAGATAAGCATAAGGGAGCAAGTGCTTTGAAAGGTTTGATCTGTCCTTGTGAATTCTGTCTTCATGTTGTCAGTGTGGCAGATAACCTTTTTGCCTCTGGAGTACTGAAGTTATGGCAGGTAAGTTATTTTGGTCTTCACGTTATGGCAGGTGTTTGAGGGTTACAACTCTTAAATGGGTTCAACCCATGAAGGCCAGGTTCACAAAGATCATGGGGCCTCCTCCTTATTCCCCTGCACTTTCCCTCCGTTGCTTTGGAGGGGCTGAGCACCATGCACCTTGCAGGGAGGAACACACCAATGCCAGGTCCTCCTCACTCCTCGGAGCTCACTAACTCTTGGCCCTTCCTCCTGGACTTAGGGAGCTTTGGTCCAGGGTGAGGGACAGGCAAATCCATGCGGCACAGAGAAACTATAGAGGCTGGGAGGTAGAAAAGAAAGGTGGGAGGAGGGAGAGCAGGAAACACGCTGCCAAGGAGAGAAATAAAGGAGAGGAGAGGAAAGGCAGGTGCTGACAGAGAGGACACATGGGGCGATGGAGGATGGCAGAGGGAAAAGTGAGGCTGAAGAGGCAGGAGGAAAAGGAAAGGGCATAGGAAAGAAGAAAAGGCCTGGGCCCAGAGCTTTATTCAGTAGGAGCACTGTCATAGGGCAATTCTTCTCACAGGCCCTTTGGAGTCTCCTTTTTCTGGTGCATGTTCTGCAGGCACTTCGGGCTAAGCTGCTTTCCCCTCCATCTCTATGAATCTGGCTCCCACCCATTCATCACCAGGGCATTTCTGCTTAGAGAAAGCAATTTTAATATTAGCTTAAATGAGGAAAATTTGGAAGGAATTTGGCTATAAACTGTTATCTAATGCAGCTTTGAGTGAAGGAGAACTTTTGGGTTCTTAATAAAATTAACCTGTGGTAGTATGAATAATCAATAGTTAGTAGTATTTTAAAGGGTGTTAATTTCTCATTCAAATAGTCTGCTAATGAGGGGTATCAGGGGAATTGGTTGGGGCCTTCGCAGTTACAAAAAAGAAAGGGGAGGATAGGCAGTGTGTACGGCAAGGTTTACAGGAAGTATCCTGCTTGCGGGAAGAAACAACACAGGGACACTGTGGTCTAGGCTGCACTTGACATCTTTGGGCCACTGGGGTCAATTCTAAGGTCTCCACAAAGGACTGAGCAAGAGGAATCACCTCGTAGTTGCAGTGGGTCTGGGTCAGACAGGAGGAGGAAGACTCCAGTGCATCACCTACTACCTAATTTCAAAGTGCTAATCCAGGTCTTCACCTAGAGTACCTGAGTCACTGTGGGCAGGATTAGGCCCTGGAGGGTCTGACATCAGGAGTGGGTAGGCTTTCTCTGTGGGGATGTCTCTGGAGCACAGAGGGATGGACAGGGAGACCTGAACACTTCCCAGCCACTTGCTGCTCCTGTGCCTCCTGCTGTAGATTCTGTGCATGGGGTGTGGGCAAAGCATCGGGTCTTAGGGCTGGAAAGTTGCAGGACTGGGATGGCAGCAGAGGTGGGTAGCACTTTAGCTCCTGTAGCTCTTCTTGGTGGACGATGTCTTAGAGATGATGCGCATGCTGGAGCTGGTGCCACTGAGGCTGTGGCCACTGGTAGAACTAAAGCTGCTGCCACCACCAGAGCCACTGTAGCAGAGGCCACCACTGAAGCCACCACTGTAGACACCCCCACCCACACAGAGGCGGCTGCCCCCACTGTAGCCTGTGCCACCAGAGGAAGAGACCACAGCTGTGAAGAGAAGACATGGGCATGTTGGCGTGTTCTGAGTTTTTCACGTTGCCCTCCCATCTTCAAGGTCACACTTGCCAGAGACTAAGGCTTTAGGCTCCTGGGCTATGTTTGTTCCTCCTGTCTACTAGGAGGCTCTCATGTTGGATAGACTTTGAGGCCTCAGATTCAAGAACAGCACCATAGGCCAGGGATTTAGCTCAGTGGTTCCACTGCCAGCCTCAAAAGTATAAGATCCCAAGGTCAAACCCCAATACAAAAAAGAACAGCACTGTAGACTCCCATGGAAGAGACCCATAGGCCATGTATATAACACCCCAGTATTGGAATCCATTCAACCAAGTGAACGGGAAGCAATCCATTAAGATCTGCCCAGTGTTTTCAGTGACCAGAACTCACTCCCTGAGAAGACAGGGCCCCAGCCTGTGAAACCTGTTGCTATTGCTCTGCCTTTCCCTTCAAGTTTGCTTACTCCTGTCTTTGCATCAGGTGGTTTCAGGCTCCCCCGGGCCTTCCTCTTGTGGCCTTACCCACTTGGGGCTTTTATGGTTCTGACCAGGACTCAATGCTCCTACCTAGGATGCTGAGCTTTTCAATACCCGCTTTGCCCCAGGTGGGGGAGGTCACTCCTGAGATTATACCTCCTGGTCTCCTGGGAGTGCAGGCCAAGCCAGGCCAGTCTCTGTTCTACTTGCTCAATTAATTTGCTTCAACTCTAAATACAGATCTTTACCTTTCACCTACTTCCAAGCCCCTTGTGTTAGAGTTCCTGCAGAATAGCTGAGAAATCAACCATTCAATAACATAGGGGCCACTGGGCATGGTGGTGCACAACTGTAATCCCAGCACTTGGGAGGCTGAGGCAAGAAGACTGCTGTGAGTTCAAGACTAGCCTGGGCTACAGAGTGAGTTCCAGGTCAGTCTCAACTACATAGTGAGACCCTGTCTCAAAAAACCAAAAATAAAAATAAAAATAATCTAGGGGCCATTACTTGAGAAGTTCCATCCCATTATAGGATTCTCTGGGGTCAGGATGGAGTCCATGGGAGTGTGACCCCACTGTGACCACCCTCAGGGGTGAGGAGCCACTGCAGAGAAACTCCCCCAAAACATTATCCCAGAATGATGAAAAAGTCACTGAGCTCTGCTGTAAGTTACTCCTTAGGGACTTAGAATGTCTCCACTCTGAGTTCTCTTGACCCCACTGAGAGGAAGAGCCAAAGAGCAGAGGGGTCTCCACAGAGCCCTTAGGAAGGTCTTGATGACATCTGTGACCCGGTGTGTCATTTTCTAGCCACTGAATTCTAATCAGTGCTTCCATTAGCTCCTGTTTGCCACTCACTCTCCTATCATCCCAACATATTTACTCACAGATGTTAACTGATCCAACGCCTTCACCAGTGAGTCTGTGGCAGGTGGAAAGAGAGAGATACATCATTAGCTGAGAAGTTAGAGGCCCTGGGTTCTTTGTATTTAAAGTCATTAGCACTCAGCATGTCCTACACTGTGCTTAAGATTTTCATTCAACGCTTTAGCTTTAGGGAGGTGAAAATATTTGAGGGGATATCCAGAGAGATCAAGTTAAGATACATACAAAAGTACAGGGAGGGACTTATGCTGATGTGGTGGAGTGAGATAATCAGTTTCTAGGGTGTCTCTGGAGAAACTTGGAAGCCCTGAGGCTGATCCCAAATGTAGCCATGTTTGTTATGGGGCCTGGGTAGTAATAGATCTGTTTGGGGCCTTCCAAGTGGCCATGACCACCTCTTCCTGGCCTGGCCCTTGTCTTAGTTCAGGATGAACTAAGGGAGGAGCTGCAATTGCAGGCAGCCTCTACAGGAACAGTTGGATTTTCACCCCATTTCTGGCCCTGGACTTTCTAGCTGGGGGCCTGACATTGTGGGACCCGTGTGGCCTCTGTGGCACGACTGTCATGCTCTAGTGGCATCTGTTTTGGCCATGGTGGGAAAGAAATGGCTCCCCTGTGCTCCTCGCCCTCCAGTAGCTTCCTGTAGGTGGCGATCTCGATGTCCAGAGCCAGTTTGACATTCATGAGCTCCTGGTACTCGCGCAGCTGCCGCGCCATGTCCTGCTTGGCCTTCTGCAGGGCGTCCTCCAGCTCTGCCAGTTTGCTCTTGGCATCTTTGAGGGCCAGCTCTCCATGCTGCTCGGCATCTGCGATGGCAGCCTGGAGTGTGGCACACTGCAAGCAGGAGGCAGAAACTGTGACACTGTTCACAGGGAGTGCCATAAGATGTGGGCTCTGGTTTAAAAATATGGGAAGGTGGGAGGGTTCCTTGAAGACAAATTAATATGCAGATGCTGGAGCATCATGTTTAAAAACAAGGCTGTTCTCTGTCCTTTAATGCTTTAGACTCACTGGGACGAGAGAAACAGCTTTCTGAGGTCCTTCAGTGCTGCCTTTCCCTGGACATTGGGTGCTTCAAGCAAGCTGAGCTTGACCATCTGTGGCTCCAGAGGGAAAGGGGACCTGATATTGTGAATGGCACTAGGCGAGTTGAGTTCCATTTGCATTTTGGAGGCCACTCATATGTGAGGCCTCTCTCTGCATGGGCTGAGTTAGACCCAGGCCCAGGTCTACCCCGGAGCAGGGCCCTGAATGGAGTGCTCTGTGGGAGCTCAGCCCTACCTGCTTCTTCAGGTTGTCAATCTCCAAGCGCAGCCTCTGCATGGCGCGGTTCAGCTCAGAGATCTCCATCCTGGTGGTGCGGAGGTCATCCCCGTGCTGCCCAGCGGACCACTGCAGCTCCTCATACTATGAGGAAGAACAAGCAAGGCTCAGTGGGGGCAAGGGATGGGTGCAGCAGGCACCCAGTTTCCAGGCTGTAGTTTCCAGACTCTGAAGACTTTCAGTACTCTGCTTGGAGACTCCTTGCACTGTCTCCAACTCATTCTAATCTATTTCCCTTGTCTCTTGTTCTGCCCCTCATTTTACATGTCCACAGGCTTCACCCCACGGTTGGACAGCTGTGGTGTGTTCTTTCCCTTCTTCCCACACCCAGCTTCTCTTTCCTGTTCCTCTACTTGATACATCTCACTGTTCCAGACTCACCATCACGCAGGGTGCTTGTCCCTTTGTAATTTTAAAGTTCCTCTATAAGCTGTTTGTTTTGTTACCACATCTCATCAACCCCAAAGATTCCCTGGCTCAGACTGTCTGCTCAAACCCGGATAGTCTCACTCTGACCCACATCCTAACTTTGACTCCCAGGTCCCTGGCCCCAGCCAGTTCTACCTCTCTTCTCTATCCTGCCAGCCTTTCCCAGGAAGCACCAGACCTTCATCTTCTCTTCTCTTTTTCTCTCTCTTTCTCCTGTTGGCCCCAAGGGTTAGACTTGCCCAACTGTGCCTGTCTCTCTGATACAGGGCACTGGAGGTATGTGTCCATCTGTCCTGGCAGAGGGACTTGCCACCATCTGCCTGAATCTGGCAATTCCTCTAGCTCTTAATGGTGCTGCCCCAAGTTAGGGCTCAGAACAGAGTGAGCCTCAAACAGAACTCAGATCCTTGGAGCCCACCAGACTGGGTCATCTGAGAGGACCAGGACCTTAGCTAATTTGCCTTTGAAACCTCTGGTCTTGGTGCTTGTTCAATTAACTTGACTTTGGTGCCTCACCTTGGTCTGGTACCAGGATTCAGCCTCGGCACGGCTGCAGTTGGCGATATCCTCATACTGGGCCTTGACCTCAGCGATGATGCTGTCCAGGTCCAGTTTGCGGTTGTTGTCCATGGACAGCACCACAGAGGTCTCAGAGAACTGAGCCTGAAGCTGAGCCAGCTCCTGTGATTGGGCCAAATGGAGAGCTGAGGCAAGATACCTGTGTGTGTGTGTGTGTGTGTGTGAGTGTGCTGGGAGACTGTGGCCTCTCCCAGACAGACCCTAGCATGCATGGAGGGTCTTACACTGTTAGGGCAGAGCTCCATGCTTAAGTATGAAAGGGCAGGGTAGGGACATGAGCAAGCCCTGAGGCTCAGAGATGCTAATCACAATACAGGCCTGGCTTGCACAGTTTCTATGAGGATTAAACTGTCTATATTGTTGGGCTCTGAATAGTAAAATCGTGATTAATTTGTTGCATGACCCAAAGCCTCGATTCTCTAAATGTGACCTCAAACTGGCAGCATCAGCCTTACCCAATGGACATCCCAGCCCCACACTGAGCCCCAGCTGGTATTCTAACAAGACCATCAGGAGGGTCATGTGCTTTGGAGTCCGAGAGTTGCTAGTCTGAAATCTAAGCAAAAGTACTCCTTGGCCTTCTGAATTCCCAACTGGTCCATACAGTTATTGTTTTTAGCAAAGTACTATTTTATAGTTCTTATGCTATAGTTTATGTTTCCTAAATAATTTCTTCTCTCACTGACCTCTCTGGGGTCAGCCCATGGGCCTGCTGGGCAATAGGTCAGGTCAGAATTATAAGCCAATACCACCCTGGATGTCACAGTGAAGAGAATCGGCTGAGCAAACAAAACTTTGTGGTCCTATATGGGCTGCGAGATGATCACTGAAGCCACCCAAAGACTAGGAGGTGATATTCCTCGCTCTGAGACAACATGACAGGCTTGTGTTGGGCACCAAATGTAGATAATCCTCTGGAGAAACTGGTCTGTCCCATCTCAAGGACTACGTGGAGGTACACAATCTGCCCTGTACCCCCACTTTGGCACTGCTGTCCTATATCCTCACTCAGCTCCTCCAGCCAATCTAGACTTTGCCAGGGGGCGTTTGTATCCTTGTTCTCCATAGCTTGGACTTGCCACTGTGGCCTATTGTCATTTCCATGTCTGAAATGGTATAGTTATTTGATGATGTCTCCACCGCCTGTCTCCCCTACTGTAAGATAAGACCGAAGAACTTAGGGACTTCACTGTGTTTGCCCAGTGCCATCCCTGAAGCCTGGAGAACAGTGTCCTGGTGGACAGAGGTACTCAACAAAAATGAGTCTTCAGGAGAAGCACACAATTGTGTTTTAGGCTTCCAGAAACACCTGGAGACTTCCTAATTGCCACTTGATTTGCATAATCTCATCATTTTGCAGTCTGTCTAGGAAGCAGCAGGTGGGGCAGGGCTGGGCTGGGCAAGCCCAGCTGTTCACAGTGCTGCAGAAAGTTGTGCATTGCAGATCGGCAGGCTGTACTTTTGTTGGCCCAACTTGGTCCAAGTTGCTGAGGATGTTTTTCAGCTCTCCTGCCCTCCCAGTGGCGCCAGGAAACCTAATTTTCTCCTTTGTAGGAAAAGCAGCATCTGTGCTCATGAATTATAATCTACAGATGGGATGAGAAGCCAGGAGAAGGGCAGGGAAGGAGCCAGCAGCCTTTGTGTTCAACTGAGGTCTCCAGCTCTCCCAAGGGGGAAGAGCAGGCCCTCTTACTGCCTCGTAGAAAGCTCTGAGGAAGTTGATCTCATCCATCAGGGAGTCCACCTTGGCCTCCAGCTCCACCTTGTTCATGTAGGCGGTGTCCACGTCCTGGGCACAGAACATGCTATCACCCTGGGGATCACCCTTCCTGAGTTAGCTGGCTGCCTCTGTCTGTGATTTAGAGGGACAGCTTCAGAGGCTGGGGGAGGACCTGGCTGTCCCAAGGTTCTGATCTGCACACCAGCTCTGTCTTCTGAGTCTAGCTGGATGTCCAGGAGACTAAGTTCAAGTCCATTTTTGTACCCCATCCCTCGACGCTGGACTTTATTAGGAGATTTACAACTCAGACTTGGGATTTCCAGATCTTGACTCACTTCTGATTTATCTGGGTAACCTTGGGCAACAGACTTATCACTTTTAAGTAAAACCTGCTTCCAAGATGTGTGCAAGTAAGGCCTGGTGGGCCTGGTGGGCCACTGTAGCATAAGTGACAGTTTGTGACCCCAAGAGCCTAGGAGTGGGTAGAGCACCTGTCTCCTTACCTTCTTGAGTACCACAAACTCATTCTCAGCCGCTGTGCGTCTGTTGATTTCCTCCTCATACCTACAGGAGGGGTAGGGGACAGGGGATTAGGAGAGAGGTTCTGGGAGTGAGATGGGAACCATGGAGTTTCAGGCAGGCAGGCTGGTCTCGAGAGCAGCCCTGGAAAATCTACTGTAACTTAACTCTCCTGAATACATGTGCCCCCAAATCACAAATTAAAAATCCCCTTCTCCCCAGAACCCAAGCTGAAAACAACAGAATAGAACTATCTGTCCTTTTTATGAGGTTTCTGCTCACTGCCTGGCTCCTCAGTGTACTTGGGTCCCCTAAAGGAGCATGCATGTGCTTGCTTCAGCAGCATATATACTAAAGAGCATGCATGTTTCCTCTTTTTTAAAAAATGGCCTCGCCTCAATCCAAACAGAGGCCCTGAGGGGAAAAGCAGAGAGAAAGGTAAGAGGTGGCAGCTCCTGGGCACTGACCTGGCCCCCGCATACCATGTGGCCTTCATGTCCCCTCACTGGTCACAACCATTTGACCCGGGATTTATGAAGCAGAGTCACCAGGCTTACAGGTGACCTTCTTCCCCAGGTTTCTGTTTTCTTCAGTTTGCCCCTACACAGCAACTTCAACTCTTCAGTCTGTCCCCAGGGGTGCGTGGTGGTGTCCATTGCTCAGCAGACCTCAGGGGAGGAAAGTTTCTCTTCTGCTCCAGTTGACTCATTCTCCACCCAAGCTGCCTCAGCAACAGCCAGTCCCATCCTCTTAGCTGTGCTGGATGCTGCGGTTTGAACCTTGGCTCCTTCACCTCAGCTGAGTTGTCTTGGGCAGCTTATGTTACCCCAACCCTAACCTCTTAGAGGCACTTCCCCATCCATGAGTTTCCTTTACGGAATCCTCTCTTCCTTTACGGCCACAGAGCACGAACCCACAGTATGTATACTATCCGAAGTTTCCTGCCTTCATACTGCCGCTAGTGCCCAGTCTGCTCTGAAAATCCTTCCTGCCATTGAGACCTCAGTGCTGTTTGGGCTTTTTGCTGAATTCTATTCAGCACCATTGATGCTCCTTATTATTTCCTCAGCACTTTTTGATGAAGTAAGAACAATTTTTCCTTCCACTAATTCCATGCAACTGTCCTCATCTTCTGTGTTTCTGAGCTCATAGTCCCTCTGTTGCACAGGCCACTTGGACCTCATGGAAATCTGACCTGGCCATTTACCAGGAACATACGCATTACCACAAGCCCTGCCATATCCCTCCTGGTGACCTCTTCCTTCTCAACTTGAGGTTTTAGGCTTTTCCCCAAGGAAGTCGTCTTGGAGTAAAACTCTGTCATACCATGTTTGCAGATGTATTATAAAATTGCCATCTGCAATCAGTTCTTGTGACTGTGTCATTGTGCACTTATAACTAAACACAAATGCAATAACATAGCTAGCACTTACCAACTTACTATGTGCCAGACACTAGGCACCTTATTAAGTACTTTCTGTTCATGTTTTGACTTTTGATACATATAGAAACTTAGGTTTAGAGAGGTTAAAGTGTTTTCTTGAGGCCATTTGTCTGAATAGATGAATGTGCCACTGACTAGATTGTATAGCACTGTCACAGAACTTTGTGCTTTGTATTATCATGGGTAGCATGAGAGCCTCACACTCCTCCCATAGAGAGTCAGGTACATTCTGCTGTCTATACCGGTTAGTCATCATCCTCTGTAGCTCACACCTTCCCAAAGCCTCAACATTCTTGACCAGAGTCTCGGTTCTCTTTCTACCACTATTCCCAAAGTGTGTATCCCATTACCCACTGGTCTAGGCCCGTCTGGAGAGAGGACCTCATTTCTCCTGCTGCCCTGGGCTCCCCTGTTGCCCCAGGGCCAGGCTCTGGCCCAGGAGCTGGTTGGACGCCCACTTACTTGTTCTTGAAGTCTTCCACCACATCTTGCGTGTCCTTCGGCTCCATCTCCAGCCTGCCCCGCTCTCCTCCCAGGCGGTCCAGCTGTCGTCTCAGGTTGTTGATGTAGGCTTCAGACATGGGCTCGAGATTGGTCCTGGTGGATTTTTGGTCTTGCAGGAGGCTCCGTTTGGTCTCCAGCACTTTGTTCTGCTGCTCCAGGAAGCGCACCTGTCCAGCCAGAGGTAAGAGACTATGAGGGCTTCCACGAGGGCAGCCTCCAAAGGCATCTCAAAGAAGGGCCCCTCAACAGTGCGAGGGAGTTTGCACAAGAAGCTCAGGGTCCAGGAGGCAGACTACTCTTCCTCCACCTTATTCTAGGCTACAAGGAGCATGGCATGTAGAGAGCCAAGCCCACATAGGTGCAGGGGGCTTAGGAGATAGGCAGTGGTTTGGTTTGGAGAGGGGAGAGCTACAGAGGATCAGAGGGGATGGAAGCATTTGAAAACAATAAACCCTTGTGATGTACGGTAAATTAAGAAAAGAGCACTCTGCCATAGTGTTATCAGTGAGATTTTACTTCCTATTAAGTAGATAGGCAGGCGTTTGTGGCAGAAAATTCCACATGTGCACTTTGTTAATGACAAGATTTCTCAGGATCTAGGATCTGGTCTCAGTTGCCTGCATATTCCAGAATGTATTGGAATGGGTCACCTGGAGTTGCATTTGAGCCACATCCTTCATTAGCCATATGACCCTGGGCAAGACCCTTCCTCTCCTCTCTGGTCTCAAGTCCCTTGTGATCTTGTGCTACTAATTTGGGTTTCTTGAACTAGCTCCATTTGCTTCTCAGCATGGGAGTCAGGCTTGGGAAATATGAACAACCATTCCCTTAAACAAAACCTTTCCACTGGAAGGAACTGCAGTGACAGCCACCCTCACAGAAAAAGGGACCTGCATCTCCAGAGATGGCCATGTCTTCACAGATGGTCTTTAACAAATGCATCTTTTCCTGTTTGGCCCTCTCACAGTCAGAGGGGGGAAGATGTCCTGGTTCTAAGTCCCTCCCTAATCCCATGCCCTCTTTCTCCTCGTTTTCTCCAAATGAATTAGGGAAAAGCAAGGCTTAGATTCTTTCCTGCACAGTAAGACTACTGGAAGTCTCACCTCTGTTGGTACAACCCAGGCTAGAAGGGGTGTCAGGGGTGACAAAGCTAAAGAGCCAGAGTCTCAGCAATGCCTTTGGTTAGGTCTGCACATTCTGTGATCTCACCCAAAGATAAAGCATCATAGCTTTCCATACCTGTAAAAGGGACCTTAGAGTCTTTGAGCAGTGACACTCCCAGGAGTAGATTCAAAATTAGAACTTGAGTCTGGTTGCCTCTTAGCTCAGACCCTTTCTTCCAGATCCCAGAACTGGTTCTTCCCAGTCCAAACCATACAGCTCAGGTGTGTGGTGGTGGTACCTGTCATGCAGGGGTTCTCCCAGAGCTGGAGAATCCCTTGGATCCAGGCCATGAAGCAGGTAGGATTCAGGCTAAAGTCACAAATTTTCTTTTACTCAAGGACATATGTCCCTTCAGCACTCACCCAACTTCTCAGATATGCTCACTTCCCAGGGAGATGCCTATTACTGCAAGAGGGCACCAGTGCTGATTAAACTGGGAACCAGCCCACTCCCACGAACGTACCTTTCATTCTTTTGTCTCCTTCCCTCGAAAGTGACCTCAATGTGCTGTCTAATTTTAAGACAAGCACATCTTCACTGACCATCAAAGAACAATATTTTTGTAGTAGGTCAGAGAGCTCTTGGGGCCAGAGATAGATGTTTTTTAGTTCCTACCTCAACAAAGTGGAAAACCACCCTCTCCTACATCCTATCAGCGTACTGCCCAGCCCCAGGATCACAGGGCTGGGGAAGCCACCTGAAGTTGACCTCAGAAAAAGCACAGAAAACATAGACCCTTTGGTGGTATATCACCATTTTCCTGGTGGGGACCCCACTGGCCCCTCACCTTGTTAATAAAGGAAGCAAACTTGTTGTTGAGAGTCTTGATCTGCTCCTTCTCCTCTTTGCGCACCCGCTGAAGAGAAGGATCTATCTCCAGGTGCAGGGGTGTTAGGAGACTCTGGTTGACAATGACCTCATGGATGCCCCCAGCTCCAGAGACCATTCCACCTCCAAATCCATATCCACCAAAGTCTCCCCCCACTCTGTACCCCATGCCACCAATACCTAGCCCACAGCTAGCACCCCCAAAGCTGCCCTGGCTGGAGCGGTAACCCCCACTGATGGAGATTCTTTTGCTGCCCCCAAAGCCATGGAGGCTCCTGGTCCTAAAGCCTCCCCCAAAACCACCTCCGATGCTCTTCCTACTCTGGGACACCGAGACAGAGCTGAAATTGGGTCAGCATCCTGGGAGGAGGCTGGCTGAGGAAGCACTGAAGTTGCGAGTGCCACCTGACTTGATGGTGACAGATGATCGCTGGGTCATGATAGGAATTGCTGCCAGGGGATAGTGGAGCAAAATGTCCAAGGGATGAGCAGCCTTCAAAGTGTAGCCGTCCGAGACTCTCCTTGACTTTTGTCCTTTTTGAGAACTGGACTTGGCTGGAGGAGATCAAAGACCACTCTGCTGAATTCACCTCAATGGCATGTCTGGCCACAGCCCATCTTCGTGTCCTGCTAATCACCATGGGGAACACCCTACCCAGGCAGGACCAGGCCTGAGGATTCAGGCCTGTGGAAGGTCTGGATTCCGAGCCCCCCACCCAGGTTCCCAGTCTCATGCCATGGACACTCCCCTTGTTTCTCCACACTCCATCCTCTATTGTCAGGTCTTGGGCTCTGAACCCAGGCACCTGACTAGGCATGTCTATTCTGGACATGAATTTATATATATAAATTATGTTTGCTCCTGAGGATTTAGCCTGGGCCACACCATCCACACGGTGGCAGGTCTGCCACAGCACTGTTTTATTTGATTCTCATTACTTTGTGAGAGTGGATGATAAAAGTAATCATGGCTGATTTTTTTTTGATCGGTTACTATGGGTAGTTGCCTTATGCCTATCATCTCATTGACTCTCTGACATCACTATGGCATAGCTGTTCTCGTTTAACCCATGGGGCAATTGAAGCAGAGTACTTAGGCAACTTGGCTAAGGTCGCACAGCTGGTAACATAGTTGGTGACTCTTGGGCCCAGTATTACATGCTCAGAATCTTTGGATCTTGCTCAGCTGGGGAGTCAGGCCTCCAGAGGAGAGGTGGCTTGTCCAAGGGGAGAAGCAACCAGGACTTTACTCCAAATTCCTATCTCTCTATTGTTCTCATCCCTGGTCTTAACTTGCCCTACCCCTGGGGACTGGGGGATTTAACAGTTTTTCTCAGTGACACTTCTCCTTCCCATAATCCTCACGCTTCCAACCATTCCAAACTTCAGTCCTTGTTTCGCTCTCAACACCCTTCTGTCCTGTGGCCTCTCTCTTCTGCCCTTTGACTTCCTGCTCTGCACTATAAGTGTTTTCACAGCCCTGCTTTGTGGCTTCCCTCCATTTCCCACCTGGTCTGGATCACTGAGTCCACCCTCTCAGCCTACCTGGCCCCAGTCTGGGTGAGTCCACTAGGGGAGGGGTCCAGGACACTCATAAAGTCAGGAATGTGGGAGCTTCCTGAATGTCTCACAGCTCTTGCAATTATGGGCTAAATGGCTCCTGTGCCTGGCCCCAGGGCTGACTATTAACTCCTCTCTCTGGCCTGTTATTTCTCTGATCAGGCTTGCAAGTTTGAAGCTGTCAGGGAACAATCAGCCCCTTTGAGGGCAGAGGCCAGAGCCACCCACCCTTTGTCAGTGTCCCAGGAACACAGTCTGGTTTTGGGAAGGGAAGGCATCGCTCAGCTTGACATACTGTTCAGGTGACTAAGCAGGGTTTCTGCCCAGAGCCTCTGGCTTCTCAAAGAAGGCATTCCAGGGAGAGCTAAGAAGTGGGAGAAACTGGGGTGGAAAGTTTGGTAGTCTCCTGCACCCTTGTGTGTCTGCAGCCCCTGTCTCTCCCATCTTCCCATCCTCCTCCTCAGCATCCATCACTCGGGTGTGCTGATGTACCTTGAGCACTGCATATGTGGGGCCCCATTCTTGGGCAGGAGGAGAATTGCTTTGGGCTCATCACCATCACAACAGAAAGCTGGATGCCAAACATATTACACATGCATTTAATGGACACGTTCTGGGGAGCGAACAGAGGTGCACTCATTCTTCCAGCAGCTTATAAACTCTCTGAGACAGGCCTGGCATTGAGATGGCCTGAGAGACACAGGCTCCCCATCACTGCATCTGGTGGTGGTGCCGAAGGGGCATTTGTAATCTGCCTGGGCCTCACAGAGGATGAACCAGACCTTGGAAGAGAGTAGGCTATGGGTCTACATGTCAAGCACAAAGAGGGGTCAGGAGTGTACTGGGGACTACAGGAAGATCAAAGGCTGACTCAGGCTGGGGAGTGAGGTTTAGCCAGGATGCCAGGCTTCCCAGCAGTACAGGTGAGGTGGTGGAAGGGAGACCAGGAGAAGGACTCAGGAGTCTTAGTGGGGGTGCAAACAGGCATCGAGGCGGGGGCAGTGAGGGAGCCTTTGGCCGCATTTAGTGCTTGTAGTTCTTCCTGCTGGAGGACGTGGTGGAGATGAACTTGACACTAGAACCACTGCCCCCTGGGCCCCGGCTGCTACTGGCAGTGAAGCCAGAGCCCCCCAGGCCTGTGCCCAGGCTGTGGCCACCACTGGTGGTGAAGGAGTAGCCGCTGCCTCCACCGAGACCAAGGCTTCCACTTGCAATGCCACTGCCACTGCCATAGCCACTGGAAATGGTGGAGGTAACCACAGCTGCGGGAGAGAGGACATGGTCAGAGTCACAGGCAGGAGAGAAGACGCCGAAAGCTGTCAGGGCATGTGCCCTGAAGTCCCTGGTGTGGGGATGGCATGGTCTTGGCAGACAGCCATTTGCTTCATTGTAGTTTCTGCCTGCTCGGCCCCAAGAGCCGCATGCTAGAGTGGAATTCTCCCAGGCTCGAATGGCTTTCTGCCTCCTCTCTGCTACTCAGTGCCCCTTCTCCTTTCAGAACCTACTGGAGACTTCTCTCCTTCCAGGGCTTCACAATCCCCCCACTGTACTCTCTGGTCCCTGTCCTTTTGCATGCCTGGACCTGGAGCTCTCTCTTTCTTCTGTAAGCTAACAGAGGGGCCACACATGCTCTTCCCTTGGCAGCCCCCATCTACGAGACCTGGCATCCCAGATGGGAGCTGGAATATTCTAGAAAAATCCCTGGCCAGTCAGCTCTGACCCCTTTTCTTCTACAAACCTATTCTTCTAAATTATAAGCACGCATCACCTTAGATTAGTACTCCACTTTGGGCTCTGCAGCTGAAATGAAAAATGAGCTATAATAGGTTTATTACGTGCTAAAACAAAACAAAACAAAACAAAACCAAAAAACCCACAACTGTGTTGAAATCCTAACCCCAAGTATGTGTGTGTGACCTTATTTGGAAACAGGACCTTTGAAGATGTAATCAAGATAAAGTTTCTAGAATGTGTCTGAGTCCAGTATGATTGTCCTTATAAAACTGGAGAAGACATCCCTGTGAAGATGATTATGCACAGGGACAAGGTCCAATGGTCACAGAGACAGAGTTTGGATTGAGGCAGCCACAAGCCAAGGAAGACTAAGGGAGGAAGAAGCCAGAAGGGATTCTCTGCTGTGGAGGGAGCCTGGCTCCATCACACCTTTACTGTGGGCTTCTTGACTCCCAAACTGTGAGACAATAAATGTCTTTTGTTTTACATGTTTTGTTTTGTTTTTTTCTGGTACTAGAAATCAAATGCAGGGTTTTGCACTTGCCGGAGAGGCACAGTGCCACTAAGCTACATCCCCGGCCCGATATCTGTTGTTTTTAAGCGCCCCAGTCTGTGGCACTAGGCTGAAGTAGCTACAGGAAACTAACACAAACCTCCAGGTATATTCAGAAGAAAAGGAAGCTCAAGGCTATGCCATCTGTTGCCAGAGTTAGTTCTGAGATCTTGGGAACTCCTAGACATGGACTTGAGGCAAATTAAGGGTAAATGGGGTGATTCAGAGGGCTCTGCTTTCTAGGATCACTGGCTAATGTAATCAATTGTACTTATGAATCCTTCATCAAGAAAACCAAACTCACTTGTAGCATATGAATTGGCAGTATCGTTTCTGTTGGCTTCACCATGCCAGCACTGCCCTCTGTGAGAGAGGACTTCTGCTCTTACTGGCACACTAGTAATTCCTCTCCTGTTTTGGAGAAGCTGTAACCAACTGCTGTGGTCCGTGGTGCCTGAGTGGCCTTGGAAACCCTTGGCAACTTTTCGCAGCTATACTCTGCAGAGCAAAGCGAAGCAGGGATTCTTCCAAGCTGTTTGGAAAAGGAGCCTCCTCTTTGGTCATGCCCTGTGCATAGCATGAAGTCTCTCTTCAGAGGCTCAGGGGAGACCAGGAATTTTCATAAGCTTTGACATCAAGTACTCATCTTGGATATTTCTGGGCTAGACTTGCAGCTCCAGCAATACAGTATGGACTCCTGGGAGGTGGGAGACATGGCTGGGGTTTTTCTAAATCCACTCAAAACAATTACAACAAACCTCCTGTTGTCCTTTCCTTGGTATTCTCATTCACAAAGAGGCAAAAATTGTGATTTTGAAGTTTCTCTCCTAATATGGTTGTCTTTTCAATAGACCTAAAACTTCAAACTTTCTCAAAGTGAGCCCAGCCTGTGGGATTCTCTCAGGTTTCATGTCTTCCCATCCTTCAACTACCCACACCCCAAATGATGCAAGAATGATGTCATACTCACAGATGTTAACTGGAGAAACTCCTTCTCCACTCAGCCTGATTGAGAGGAGGGGGAAGAAAGGTTACATTTGTGTCCAATAGTTTGTGGGTATTTGCAATGATAATTTTGCAGTTATTTTAAATGCATTAAAAACCCCTTTATTATTTTTATTGCAAATGCTATACAGGTTGAAGTTATGTGAATACTAGTAATATTAAAAATAACAATCTAATGAGTAGAATAATATGGAGTTTGAGGTTCATAGATGTAAAAGCTATAATCTCAGAAACACACTTTGGTTTGAGACCAGCCTGGGCTGCAAAGTGAGTTCCAGGTCAGTCTCAGCTACATAGTGAGACCCTATTTAAAAAAAAAAAAAAACAAAAAAAACAAAACCAAAACCAAAAACAGAAGCACACTTTGGTTTAAAATATGTGGATACTCCTAAAGAAATTAAAACTAATGACACACTGGCCATAACTGGAAAGGCAGGGCTTGTCCTATAACAGGATTTCTCTCCAGCAAGGGACTATTGTAATGTCCTAGGCCAGCATAAAGGTTATTATAGGTGTGGAGAGGAGTCTGAGCAGTAAAAATAATAGTAGCAACAATCAGTCTATTATTGTCCAAGCAAATGGCATTC